ACTTACGAAACAGTAGTAATAACACATACAAATAGAATTAAAAAGCATTACAGGAGAAAAATGGTAATTTTTCAATTAAATGCATATGTAAATCAGTTAAACTGTAACTGGCATGTACCTTTCTGCACTAAAAATGCAACGAGTGACGTAAAATAAACATTGCCAAGTGTGGTAGTAGATACCTATAATCTTGGCTACTTGGGAGGCTGAGGCATGAGGACTGCCGAATTCTTGGGCAATTCGGTGAGCCCATCTCAAAGTAGATGTGGCTGGGGCTACAGCTCAGTGACAAAGCACTGTTGGATTTGATTCCTACCACAACAAACAAACAAACAAACAAACATCAAAATACAAAGGGAAAAAGATGGATACTCTGTAATAAATATTGTACTAATCAAGTGTACCTTTGTTTAAATGCCCATGAAACATGCATGAAAATGCATAAAGGAAACATGAAAAAATTTTACTAGGAAAGAACACAGATCTCATTTTCTAACCAAATGTTTGAAAACCATCAATTAACAAAATATGAATAAAAATTTCAATCACATTACCCTTGACTCAGACTAGAACAATTAGCAATCAAGAACACTATATTTAAGTCTTTGTGAACTGACTGAAGGTTTAGACTCCAAGAGATGTTAATATAGCTAACATATTCAGTAATAAATCAAGAGGAAATAAATGTTTTTCAACTAGATAAGACGGAAAAAGAACAAAAATCAAACCCCAAGAAAAACTGAATATATGATAAAAATTTAACCAGAGGATTTTGGTGAAATAGAAAACATGAAGAATCTGCTTCCCCACCTAGACAACAACTGTAGAATCTGTCTAATGTAACTATTTTGCAGCAGTGCAATCCAGTGAAGGTTTAATTACCAGGTAGCTTACCTACAAGCTGGAGTTTATTTTGCCTAATTTGTGCTCTTAGCCCAGTACATACCTGCCTCTGCCCCCTTATTCCTGTGGCAGGCAGCTGTGCTCATATTCTTGGAGTATACTGCATAGAGCCAGACCCAGCATGAGTCAAAGGGTTGTTCTTTATAAATACTGAAGAACTGAGCTCCGATCACCAATGGCTGCTTCTGATCACTGAGGTATAGACAGACAGGTGGCAGCTAATGCTGTTACATTTTACTCCACTGTCCTCCCTGTTATGAATATCTAGAGAAATGGTGAAGCAGTGTTTCTGGGTGTGTCTGTGAGTATGTGATTTGCAAAGGAGACTTCTAAGTAAGTGGTAAACTGAGTAGGGAGGACCCACTCCACGTATGTGCAAGGAGCACTGTCCAATTAGCTGCAAGGACTGCACAGAATACAACAGGCAAAACAAAGTGATGGCCTCCCTGCTCTGAGGCTGGGAGGACCTCCCACTGCCTGGAAATATCAGACTCCAGGCTCTCCGGCCTTTGTACTCCAGGACTCACGCCAGTTACTTCTTAGCTTCTTGGGCTTTTGGGCTCAGACTATGAGTTAATACTCTTGGCTGCCATTGCTCTGAAGCTTTTAGAATGGTACCACGCAATGCTAGGAGCATCCTATACAATGTTAACCCAGAAAGAGTGTGATGACTCTAGTATATTAAACATAATCTCTATGGTAACTACAAAGAAAATAATTTAAGTGTACAAAAGAAAATGAAAATTAAATATTTCATTATAAAAATCAATTATAAAGGGTGACAATAATATAAGAAACAGGATAATAAAGCTGTAAGGTAAATAAACAGCACAAAGGACAGAAGAATGTCCCTAGCAGAAGTTAATTTACATATAAATGGATTAAACTCTCTTGAGTTATTCCAGTGGTGAGGCAGAAATATCATGCCAGAAGCATGCGGCAGGAGAAAGCTGCTCACCTCTTGACTGTCAGGAGCAGAATAAGGAAAGAGCCAGACAGGAGAAGGCCAAGGAGCACATACCAATTTCATGGCCCATGACTTTACTCCCTTTAGTTAGGCACTACTGCCTAAATTTCTCCCAGTAATGTCATCAAATTATGATCTCCACAATGGATTATTTCACTGATGAAGTTAGGGCCCTTGTAATTGAATCACCTTTCAAAACTCCCACCTTATAATTCAGAAAGATGTAGCCAGAACTTTAGCAAAAGATAAAGTATAGAGAAAGAGATAAAAGTCATCCAAGTAACAAAGGTAAAACTTGGTCTCGCATGCTGCACCAGCCTCGCTACCTGGGTGCACTGAGCCAGCAACCAAATCCAGACATGGTGGTTCATGCCTGGAATCCCAGCACTGGGGAGGTTGAAAACTAGATTACTACATATCTGAGCTACACAGTGGGACCCTGTACCAAATACATAAATGAAAAAAAGAGTAATAAAGGTAAAAATTATAGCTGCTTATAAATAAATATAAATACAATTTATACAGAAAAACCTAACATTAGGGCTAATAAACAAATTAGAGTTAATAAATTAGAGTTTAATCCTAACAAATTAGGGTTAACAAACATACTATCCCAAAACATTAGGGCTAATAAAATTCAACAAAATAGTTGAATAAAAAATACAAAGTCACCACATAAAAATTAGCTGCACTTTTATACTGAAAAATCACAAATCCAAAAAGGAAATTATAATACCAAAATTCAATATCTTAGGAATTTTTGTAACCAACAGAGTGAGATAATTATAAAATGAAAACTACAATGTATTTCTGAAAGAAATTAAAGATGTAAATAAGCAGAAAGACATCTGATGCTCATAAACTGGACTTTTGTCAATTCAACCTGAAGTCATCTACAGATTTAAATGCTGTTCTATTAAAAAAAAAAAAATCACACCAACTTTTCTGTAGACATTAAAAACCCACAATAAAATTCACATGGACTCTCAAGGGACCCTTAGAAGCTAAAGCAGTTCTGAAAAAAAGCTGGAGTTCAAAACTGATTATCAAACTACAGCACTCAAAACAGTATGGCACTAGTATAAAGGAAAACATATAGACCACTGGAATAAAACAGAAAATATAAAATTAAGCTCTCATGCATTTGGTCAAATGATTTTCCATAAGGGTGCCAAGGCCATTCATGGAAAAGATACTACACATCCTATTTATTGAACAGCAATGTGTTCAACAAATGGTGCTGATAAAATTAGATGTTCATATTCAAAAGAATGAGTTGACTTTCACCTAATACTGTATACAAAAAAATAACTCAGAACAGATGCATAAAACTTAAATGAAGACTTAAACCTATAAAAATCATAGAAAAAAACATAGGGTTAAATTTCACTTTACTAAATACAGTTGGCAATGAATTCTTGGATATGATACCAAAAGTACAGTCAGTTCAAGAAAAAAACTAAACAAAGCTGATTTCAAGCCTTGTATACCAAAGATAAAATGTACAAAAAGATACTGCTGAAAGAGTACAAAGGCAATCCACAGATTGGAAGAAAACATTTGCAAATCATGTAACTGGAAAGAGATTAACATTCAGAATGTACAGAGAACTCGCAATTAAAAGACAATCTCACTATAAAATGGAAAGAAGTCGAACTATAAGGGAACATCACTTCACACTCATGGAGGGGTTGACTATCAAAGCAAAACAATCATCAAGTGATACAGAAGAATTGGAGCCTTGTATGCTGTGTAGGAATGAAAATGGTACAGTTCATGGGGAAAATAATATAGCTGTCCCTCAAAGCATGAAAAATAGAGCATCATGTAATATAGCAATTCTAAGTATAAATGAAAAAACTGAAAGTGTTTTAGGAAGACACTGGTATGCTCGTGTTCATAGCTGCACTATAATAGCTAACTCCTGGAAGCATATGTAAGAAACATGAAGTATATGGAGATAATGGAATATTATACAACCTTAAAGACAGAAAATTCTGCTATGCTACCACATGGATGACCCTTCGGAACATTAAACTAGGTGAAATGAATTTTACAAAAACCAAATACTGTATGATTCTAATTATATGATGTAATAAAGAGTAATCAATAGCAGAAAAACTAGAATAATGGTTGGCAGGGGTTGAGGGCAAAGGAAATAAAGAGCTATTCTTTAAGGGATACAAAGTTTTAATCTTCTAAGAGCAAAAGTTCTAGAGGTGGATGGTGACTATACAAAATGAATAACATACTTAGTACTCCTGAACTACACAGTTAAAAATGGTTGAGATAGTAAAACTTTTATATGTATTTTGTCACAAAAAAATCTGTTAAAAAATTAACTAGAAGTGGCTAACTTACCTAAAAAAAGAGAAACCATTCATTTACAAAATTAAGAAAGAAAACAGATTTACAGTTAACAGGAAATTAAAAGAATTAGAGAATGACTCATAATTTCCTATGGAAATAATTTTAAAAACATGAATGATTAATTTCACAAAACGTAAGTTAAGAGTAAACTAAGAAAAGGAAGAGCAAGAGAAGGCTGTGGGGAGAAAAAAAGTATCCAAAAAATTTAAGCAATTTTACTTGTGAGCTCTTTGACGAGATCGGTTGCATTCAGGGTGGTATGGGTGTAGACTAGTGAGCTCTTTGAGAGTTTGAAGGAACATGTAAAGCTAATGTTTAAAACTTTTCCAGGGCACCAAGGCTAGTGGGAACTGGCAGTCTGAGCCATGCCGAATCCACGTGGAACTGTGAGACACTGATTGATAAATTGGTGCAGGCTTAAATTTACTACTAGCAGCATCAGCAGGTTTCAGATATCTTGGCAGATAGTCTGCAGGGTACTAAGATCAAATCTACCACAAATCAATCTGACCAAAACACCACTAGTTTATTAAACTCATATTTGAATATAAAATTTCCTGGTTATATAGCTATATATTTTATTTTATAAATTTTAGTTTTTCCTATAAAAAGTATTGGCAAAGAAGCTTATACTTCATATTTTAAGTTATAGTACAACAGTGAGACAAGCACGGTAGTGCATGCCTGTAATTGCAGCATGTGAGAGGCCAAGGAAGGAGAACCCATGCTCAAGGCCAGCCTGGGTTACAAAGCAAGACACTGTCTCAACAAAACAGAACAAAGGCAACAAGCAAACAATAAAACAAATAAACAAAAAGTACCTCCCCCAAAAGTAAAGTAGGATAAAAGTCCATGTTGAGATCTGTGAGACTTTTGCCTTTGAAGAAGCACGTATTAATCAATTTCAGAAACTCCGCTCTACCTTTTAGGTGGGTAATCACTCCCTTTCCATTGAATTTAATATTCTCTGCTTCTTCTGCCCATGAGAATATCAGAGTAGATGAATAAAATCAAGACATGGGTAAAGAGGAAAGGAGTCAAAGAGGATGTGTACAACTGGTTCACTCAGTCTGTTGGGCCTGTGAAGAAAGAAAGGGCTTCCAGCAATACTAGTGATGATAAACTATGAAGTGAGTCTGCCTCCTAAGTGATAAGGGCTTCAACACAGGGACTCAGAGGCAAAAAATTTTTTAGTTACACACAGAGTAACTCTGCCCTCAGCATTCCCTCTATAAGTGGATCTTAAGTCGAGAGCAGAGTAAGCTAACAAGAGGTGAGGGATCATGCTTTAAGCCACCTTTGCTCTATAGCCAACAGCCACATTCCTGTCTCCCCTGACCCCTGCCAAGATTAGGCACATTCGCCAATAGAAGATCAGTCTAGCACCAGTAATAGAGCTGGACCAGGTCATTCGCTGCAGGTCACAATTGTGATCCAATCAAACTATGGAAGAGAATTAGTATATTAGTTTTAGGTCATAACTATTTAGAAGAAAATTTAAAAAAGAGAAAGGGACTACAGGCATTACTTAGTCCAATGTCTAGACCACTGAAGGACTCTTGTCTAAAACATACTTCTGATACAATCTTAAAATCTCTATAATAATTTACTAAGACTCTTTACCTTTCAGGAAGACCTATTCTACTGCTGAAAAGTACATTTATCGGAGCAGACATTTTGTGATGTAAGAATAACAATAACCATATAACAAAACATGTATCAATGTAGTTTTGTTCTCCAGAATGGAAATGATGTCTACTTGCTCTATGTGACAATTGTTCTTCTCTCTAGGTTATACATCTCTTGATTACAAGAACACTTAAGATATGGCTTATAGACCTTGCACTTCCAAATTACTCTCCTTTAAACAATGAGCAACAAAGTACTCTACCCTCAGAACCTGGCATTTTAGTTCTTTCACTAAATGGTGAGTTAACATAAGTAAACCTTACTTTAGGCAACAAATGCTTTCCAAAAAGGAGGATGGACAAATGAGTATTCATAAAGAAGAAAAATTAATCTTTATATACACTACTGAAACCTCTAATTTAATGCATTCTCTGGGCATGCACTCTGTAGGAATATTTTTACAACTTTTCCTGATAAAAATGTTTTGTATGCTATTGTTTCTAAAAGTGAGATCTTCTTATACCTTATCTTCCTGACCTTTAAGATGAACTGCTACAATAGATATAATCTTAACCATTTCATATAAATGGTAAGAAAGCCTACAAGAATTCAAATAGTTTGCTATTCTTAGATGTTACAATTGGCTTGCTAGGTGTCTTGGTAGATGCCTATAATCCCAGAAGTCAGGGAGGTGAAGGATCTTAAATTTGAGCCTAGGAAACTTAGCAAGAGCTTGTCATAAACTAACAAACAAGCTGAGGATGAGGGTTCAACTTCCAGTACCAAATAAATAAATATATCAACTCAGAAAATTTTAAAAAGTTGAGTTTCTGCACTTCATTTTTTGAAATTAAAAATACTTGATATCTCATCTTGCTAATCGACACAGGTATAATAACTACTATAATTATAACTTTCTACTAATTCTTGAGTCATAGAACTGTATATATCACAGATAGATTATGCAACACTATTACTTTATATACATTTGCAAGTAAATTATAGAAAGAGAATATATATATATATAGGCTGTATGAAACCATCTAAGTAGTACAGCATAGGACTTTGTAAACATATAGGCATGTCAGCTAAAGCCTGCTCTTCTATCATGATTCAGCTGCCTGACCTCAGATAGATCACTATTTTTTCATTTTTAAATGATCTGTCACCCAGCTGTGCTAACCAGAAAAGTCATTGGTTGCATGCAAAAGTATCTTAAAAATACTATGGACTTATAAGTGTCGACTAATACTATGGGGTGACTTATTGTCTTCCTACTGTTATGTGTAATACTATTCATATAAAAGTCAACATTTTTTGTGAAAGATCCTTTTCAAAGTAGTTAGTACTGTTAGTCTGTTAGTACTGTCAGTCTTATTAATAATCTTGTATGAATATGAAACCAGTGTTCTGACTTTGGGAACAGTATACAATAAAGACATAAAAGACACCAGCTTCAACTGATAACAAAATAAAATTCCTTATTATTTTTTCTAAAACACAGTAATCCGAAAGTAATGATCCCACTATTTTGAAATATATAAACTGGAAGAAAAAGTCCACAATGACTAAAGTGATTTAAAATACAAGTGGTATTTAGCTGTGGTCACTTTCATCTATAGGAAGCTTATTTGTATATAAGACATCAAAAGATAATTGCTAAACATAAAATTTCCATCAATTTCTAAAAGTTAGAATTCTATTATTTCTTTTTTTTTTTTTTTGGCGGAACCGGGGATTGAACTCAGATCCTTGTGTTTGCCAGTCAAGCGCTTATCCTACTGAGCCATCTCCCCGGCCCCAAGAATTCTATTATTTCTGAAAAATTGTTTCTTCAACAAAACATTTAGCACCGACTATGCTATCCAAAATCTATGGCGTAGTGAGACATTTTGGTCCTTCAGTCAAAATTTTAGATAGCTTTATTGCCCTGTAATGGCAAAATGACTATCTCTAGCGCCTTAGCATTTGAGGTGACATCGAAGATGTTATAATGAGAAAAAGGGAAGAATGGCATGAGGTCTGCAACCACAAAATTTGGACTCTTGCAAATTCATCTCTTCTTGCATAACTGTAGGGCCTAACTAACATGATTACTGCCAAGTTTTTTGGAACCAGTCAGGAGAAGGAACATAATTTACATATTATCCTGCTGACTTCTCGAGTATTGGGCTACTATTATAGTCCCTATGTTACTAACTCTATGTTGATTCCTTAGAAATTTGTCACCCTTTGTGTACTCTAAACCTTGAATTGAAGCATTCAGGGAGTGGTTAGATATATAAAGAAAGCATTATACAATAGAACATTCTTGGTTTATCAAAGAGAAAAGATAAATATTACAAATGTTGGCTTGTGAGAGTATTATGCTTTAGAGCATCCTTGGTTTAGCAAAGTGAAAAGGTAAGTATTATAAATGTTGGTTTGTGAGAGATGTCAACTCTTTTGGTATCAATTTAGAAAGTGTCTTCATCTGATTCATCACTCTTGGGTTTGGTAAGTCTTTCCAGTTCTTCTCCGTCCTAAAAGGAAACATGAAAAAAGTAATTAATTTACAAAATTAGAATAGCCACATTTCAAGGATACTAAGGGACAGCCTTATGAAATGTATGTCAGGAATCTTATTCATTAAATCATGGGTTTCATTTCATTAAACTGTAAAAGCAATCTGGTCAAATTAAATAAATACTTGGTAAGTTAACTTGAGCATAATGAGATGATTAAACAATGAAATATACTCAACCCAGTCTTTATTCAAAATTAAAAACATGAATATAGGCAACAGCACCATCTGCTGCTCAGGAGAGGACATGATTACAGGCTGGAGAAATGAATGTAAACGAGGCTCATCTACCTAAATTGACTTTGCCTTACTTAAAAATTGGGGCAACTGGGCCGGGGAGGCAGCTCAGCAGCATAAACACCTGCCTGGCAAGTGCAAGGTCCCAAGTTTATCCCCAGTACCACAAGAAAAAAAAAAAAAAATTGGGGCAATAAGCCCATCAGAAAAGAATAGAAAGAAGACCTCTGAATGTACACTATACCTGAGACTCACGTGTTCAGGACGCAAGCTTCTGACCTTTCCATTTTTAGACTGGTTATCTTAGTACACCTGAGCCCTGACACCTACCAAGGTTTGCCATGAATTCTAGGCATCAGATTTTCCCAAAGAAAAAAACAGGTTCATCGTGTGAAACTGTTCATATTTTGTATAGTCATAAAACTTGTGAATCTAATGGAAAAAAAAATCTATCCTACTTTTTATTTAAATGTATTTAACTCCTAAAATGAATCTCTAAGAGATACTTTACTTAACTTTAGAGTTTAGTTTGTGGTACTTGGGATTGAATTTAGGGCCTCTACAGCACAAAGCTCCATCTCCAGCCTTATTCTGAGACAGGATCTTGCCAAGTTGCTCAGGCCATGTTTGACTTTTAACCCTCCTGCCTCAGCTTCCTGGAGTGCTGGGACACAGTCAAATAAGCCTACATTCACCTACAAAGGCATTTTTAATTTACTCATGACATGATTAAAAAAAATCATGACATGATTAGAACAACTATAAACAACTGATAAATGCTTAGAATAACCGCATAAGCTTTACTATAGAAAATAATTTTATCTTACTTGTAAAAACCCTTTTGAAAACTACCACAATTCATGAATAACTAGCAGGACAATTAAGGAGCTAGGTTTTCCATTTAACAAGACTTAGCAATGTGAAATACCAAGTTCTTCTAGAAATGAAACTTACTTTCCAACTATTGTGCAGTGGAAAGAGCAGGGGACCAGAGCCAGAGGTCACGCATCTGGGATCAGTTCTCCCACTCAGTACTCATAAAGCATTCTATTTCCCTAGTCACAAAATAAGGGAGACTGGCAAGGTAACCTGAATCATTTTCTAAGTTTGTGACTATGTAACAGCTTATGATACTATTACACAAAATTCTTGAGAAGCTCTGACTTAAAAATGTTTTTCTCTACTGTGGATGGCAATTATCATGCCCAATGAATTGCTTTTGATTTTTAAAAGCCATGGAGATCTAGCACATTCAAAAGCACTATTCTCACAAACTTACCCCACTTGAACGCTCCCAGAGATTTCCACTCAGATCTCGGATCCGTTCTTGCCTAGGTGCACATTCCTGACTCTGAGGTTTGCTGGCATTATAAATAAATATGGCGAGAAGGACGGAAGGGGCTTCTAAGAAAAATTCCAAGGAAGGCCTGAAGTCAAAGACCAGGACGGACACTGTGGTGATGATGACAGTGGTAACCTGGGCCATTAAGACGTGGAACATGTTATCCAGGAACTTCAGAATGAAAGCCACGGAAAGGCCCTGAAATGCAGTTACAAAAATAAGGGCTACTGAAAACACATTGTGACCATAAAAAAATCCACAGTTCTTAATCTGATCACGGTTACTATTCTGAAGGCCCAGTGTCAGCCCGTTAAAAAGGATGCCAAAGAAATAGAGTTTGCTGTTCTGTATGAAGATGCTTTCGGTGAGATGGCTCCCTTCCTTCAGTATCTTTTCATTATAGATATTGGCCATTGAAGAAATAAAACACTGTACTATAATCAGTATATGGCCCAAGCCGAGACGGATATGACTAAAGACTCTGGCTGTGGTATTATTCCATTTAACTTCAGGAAAAGTCCACTCTTTTGCTGTGCAATTTTTTCCAGGACATTCACTTTTGAAGTGAAGGCAGGAATTTGATGGGCTGAAGAAGGCATCATGATGAAATCCATGTCCAGCCAGGTTATGCTGTGAAGTTTTAGTCCCAGTAGTCAGGGCCACAATAGAAAAAAATAAAATCAGGAGGGAAGCCCATTGTATCCAGTTTAGATGTCGCCTGTCCAAAAACAAAATACATGCTTTACCACTCTTTTTCCTCCTTGAATCAATTAACTTTATTAAAAATTCTGAAATTTGAGTAGTTGGTAGAATAATCCACACCCAGTTTTTGCTAGCCTTCCCCACAACTCAAGTTCAAAGGAAGCTTGCTGGTAGTACCTCTATGTTCCAACTTGCCCTTTCATTCATTTTTATTACTAGCCCTTAAAATCATTCCACCATTTCTCTCTGTAGGCTTTCTTTCAACCTGCAGATTTAACCAACCTCCTCCCTATTTCTAGAGCTACCTTGAACCTGTTGGCATAGTTATTTATTGTGCTAGAGTACAAGTTACAGCTGTGATCCTCAAGCTGGTTTCTGATAATGAGATGAGCGTCAGATACCTCCTTCTATACAGCTTGATTTTCTCCTACAAAAGAATTAAATCTCCAAAGGTTTAACCCACCAATTTTTGAGGAAGTCAGCTCCTGGATCAAAGGCCTAATCATGAAGCATTACACAGCATACTGCTGACTGATAAGGTAATGAAAAATGGTATTTTGGGTAGTTTTTCAGCTTTCAATGCCCTAATAGTAGTTTATGTATCTATTTATTTTGCTCAGTACAGCAGTGAGGTGCAGAGGATATACATTATTCCACATTGCAGCTTCATTCAGTTTGACAGAAATTAATAAGCAGCTTCTGTGTGCTAGCATATGGGGACATAAAGAAGACTTAATTGCCTTCTTGAAGAAATCTATGTTTTATTAAGGAGACAGCCATGAAATTATAAGAGTAGAATGTGTGAGAGGACATACATGGAACAACTGGAATACATTGAGGAAACAACATTTTAATGAAGTCAGGTCCTGTTTCAAAGAGGAAACAGCACTAGTCAAAAGATGAAAAGATAGATCAAATAAATTGAAGGTTCCTATATAAAAAGTTGCTTGTATATCCAGGCAATAAGAAGAGTCTATGCAAAGGTAACAAGGATGTACAATATTCAGAAAAGAGGAATATGTGTCAGATTGGGGTAGTCTGCGAGGTCTCTGGGATGAACAAAATCTAATCATCTAAAGATCAACCAGTCAGGTGAACATTGGAGAAGCAAAGAAAAAAGAGAGAGAATAACACAGGTAAAGGCAGAAATGTAAAGCTACATGTAAGAATCAGAAGTTACAAGAAACGGGATTTCATTTGTGCATTTGAGTACCTACTACAGGGTAAAACAATTTCTGCTCTCAGGCAGGAAAGCTGAGAGGTTAAGCGACTTCTTTAAGGTTATGCACTATACAAGAGTGAAGAAGGAACTGGATGCGTGGTTTTACGTCTTCTTAGATCATCACACCTTTGAAAGAATATTTCTGAACTTGTGGGACACATAAATAGGAAAATGTTTCTGATTTCATGAATATTTCTCTAGAGCTTTATGTTTCCAATCTATGCAATGGACCCGGCCTTGCTAGCAGCACACCTGTGCATGCTCCTCACTGTACAAGTTTCACATAAAAAGACCTGAACTCACCAAGGAAGCTAGTCATGGCTCTATGCCATGCAATCCTAAACCATCAACTAGTCACCTAAGTTTCTGAAAAGACAAGCAGGTCCATATTGAGTAGCAGAAAGTGAACAGAATGAAAAGAAAAAAATACAGAGATAAAAAGTGGATGTCTAATTTATAAACAATTATTATATAATCAATGGCTGAACATGAAAGAAGTAAGGCAGCAATCTCTAGTACCTTTAGAAGTTTTCAATTTTGGCAGATACAGATTTCTGCTATACTTACACTGAGAATAAAAAAAAGTCTAACAAATTCTTAAGCAAACTAAACAGTATCTAGTATAAATGATTACTCAATCAAGGTAACATTTTTAGGGAAGGTAAAAATTATTAAGAATTAGGCTGAAAGTGGTAGATTTTTTTTAGAAAGTAATTTAGGACATATTACCCTATAAATTCGACTAAAAATGTGTACTTATAAATGCGTGGATCTGCATGGCAGAGTTTATTCTTCAGTTTCACTGGTGTAGCACAATAGAAGCTGGCCTAACTGATCTTTTCATATCTGCAGTAAAGATTAGAGATGGATGCTCAGGGCTCAATGCTTCTTTTCCGGAGTGTCTGTTCCCACGCAAAGTGTTGCTCCCAGAATTTGTAACCCCTTGGCCTCACTGTTGTTATTATATGTTATAACAATAACAAAAATGATAAATGATGAAAAGGATTTCTATGTCTTATTTTATGGAGGAAAAAAATAAAAATACATATTTTCAAAACAAGATAATAGAAAATGGATATTATATTGTATATTGTTATCTTCAAAATAATTGCTCAGATTACCAGATACAGACCTGCAAAATCAATCAAATGAGATAATCACTAACTGTTTCTTTCAATGAACTAATAGAAATTAGTAGAACATTTATCTTGGCTATGCTTTGGGAAGACCAACTAAAAGTAAATAACTCAGATGACAAAATCTGCCTGCAAACTACCTAGGTGAGGCTAACTATAAAAGGTTATAGACAGAAATCTAGACAAGTCCTATTTTAAAAGTATTTTCAAAGACTTGCTGCATTTTATGTTCTCTGAGACCAGAAATCTTAGGATGATGTATAGTGACTACAGCATCACGTAAGAAACAATCAAGGAACTCCAATCCACAAATCCCTATACCGCAAGGAAAAACCTTAGCTCACTATCGAAAGAATAAACAGATACACAGCTATGCACTCTAAGTTAAAGTACACTGTTTGGTCTTAAACACACACACACACACACACACACACACACACACACACACACAATCTGCCTCTTTATCCACAGTTTTGCTTCTCATTCAATCCAAAAAATACTGCATAATGATTTTCAGAAGAAAATAATTCACAAATTTTAAACTGTGAATCATTCACATACCCACACTGCATGTTACCTGTCTGTCAGTTACTTTGTGGCTGTCAAGTTGACTGAACACTATAGTAAGACAGTGCTAGGGCTCAAGTAACACTTACTCTACTTAATGGCTCCACATGTAAAAGTAATGACGCTGCCATCTCAAATATGTGAGACATTATGGAGTGCTCCTTTGAGCAAAGAGGTAAAAGTTCTTAATAATGAAAACAAACAAAAACCAAACCCCACAGTACTGAGGTTGCTAAGGTCTGTTGCTGAACAGTATGGATATACTTAACACTATTTAACTACACATAAACATGGTTAGGATGGCAAATCTTACTATGTTTAGTTTCATCAGAATAAAAGTTAAAAATGTAGTAAAAGATGATACATAAAAGGCATTCTCAAGAGTGGTATACCATCCCTAGAGGAGCAAGCAGACCCCCACTAGAGGAGCAGTGCCTTTCCCAGAAGAACAAGCAGACCCTTACATTCTCACCAGAGAAGCACCCCACCCCATGAGCATGCAGATCTGCACTGACGAGTGACGTCCACCAGGAGCAGAGACTCCCCTTCCCCCAGAAGGCAAGCAGAGTCAGTCAAGAAGCATCCTTCCACCAGGGGAGCGTGGCATGTAGCAGCGGAGGTGAGGAATCACTAACCAATCTGATCCTTGAGGAGAAAAATACCCAGGAAGAATAGGGAGCAACCAAACCATGGTTGCTAAAGACATTAAATCCAACAGCCCACTGAAAGCCCCTCTCTGCATTCTACATCCAGCAGAGAATGAAGGGCTGGCCACACTTCCCATTAATCAACAGGAAAAAGGATACGTCTTGGCTCTGGAGATAACCACAGTCTGAGGGGAAATGAATGGAGGGCCCCTTACTGCAAGGACAGCACCTCAAAACCCAATAGGCCCTACAGGGAAGCATAGAAAATTGTGACTGACTGGATTCCTAGACTACAGATCTTAGCAAGAAATTATTCATTCACTGGAACACTGAAAGTTTTTCTTGACTCCAATCTTTTTTTTGATTCTTCTATGTTGTATTTTTTTCCCTACATTGTGTTACCGATAGCTTTTCTCTATCACTTTTTTGTGGCTTGGGGTTTTCTTTCCTCTTCCATGAATTTTTTCCTTTCTCTTTCTCTTTCTTTTATTTACCTTTTTCTTGTACCTATTTATCTATTTCTTATTACCTATTATTCACTTAATTTACCTGTTTCTTCTAGTTACTTTTTAATTTTTTTTTATTGCTCTTTGCAACAGATGTTCTTTATCACCACTGATTTTCTTTTATTCCTCAATAGGATCCCCATCACACTTTTCTTTCCTCCTTGTAGTCCATCAATTTTTAAATTTTGCTCTTTTTATTCTCCAGTTCCTTATACCCTCTTCCTTTACTACTATAACTATTATAGTTAACTTCACACAACTGCTGTTGAATAATGTGCAACTGTTAGCAGAAATAAAATTGTCCCATTCAAGAGTTACCTCCTGCAGCCCAACTGCCAGTCAATATTTGGATTATCTTACAATATAGATGTCCTTCCTATGAGTAAGGGTGGTACTTTACTGGTTCTTAGGGTTTCTATTTAATGTTATAATTGATGCTGATTTTGTTACTGTAGCCAAGGTGATGTAGTTGTTATTATTAACTGATTTTCTTGAGATGCCAACACCTGGATTGCCTTGGAGCCATTAACAATACTGTGCCCTATTCCTAGAAAAATGAATACCAGGCTGAAAGTAAAAGCCAAGTACCCAAATTGTTTGAAATTATATGAGGGGAGATAACAAAACAGATGAAGAAAGCATGTGGCAAGCTCACAGAAGACATTAGTAAAAAGATATGCTAATTAAGCAATATGACTAGCAAGTCTACAAAAAACACTAGTAAAAAGCTAACAGAACTAAACAAACTATGTAAAACATGTGTAACCATTAGATTTCATAAAATGACTCCAAATAGAATTATGGAGATTAAATTTCTTCTAGAAGTATGGGTTTCAGAAATGACCTGTGGGAGGACAAAGTACTAGAAGTAGAAAACAGGTCTGTGGTTGGTGACCAATTCATGTAAGATGATTTAAGCACAAGAAAATATGAAAAAT